CAGGACAGGCATACAGACAGACTTAGTAAACTCGAATACTGCTATAAACAGGAAGCAAGTCAGTGGTATGGACAATGGTCTGGGTACCTTGTGGCAGCAAAGCATTCTGAGATTCATCAAACCCAAGGTTCCCCATGTGCATCCGAGGACAGCCCCACATGTGCTTTAAAACATGTCTAGATGACAATATCATATTACAGTGTCAAAGCCTGGTCCTTCCCATGAGACTCTGGGACCGGCTGCGCAGCGCTGAAGTGTGTGTCACTCATGGTAAGCTCTGTGTCCAGTGTGTTCTTCCACTCTGTAAATATGCTGAAGACAGACAGACAGCAGCCCTGGGTCTACACCAAGCCTAGGAAACAATTATGCAGAACAATAAACAGTAACAACCAATGTCAGAGTGTAAAACCAAAGGACTACTTTCAGCCCCAGGGTCATAACTGCATTTCTGTGTGTGCTGTTAGGTGTGTGTGTGTGTGTGTGTGTGTGTGTGTGTACACACGTTCCGGATGATTCATGGTCCACGTACTATTCTATAAGCATTTTGAGCATGTGTGTGTCTCAAAGGACTCTCTTCTGCCTGGCTGGGAGGGAAACTTCGGGGCAGCTGTTGGGAACTGCAGATAGGAGGTGGCAGAGAACCCACCTCTCCCTCATGGGGCGCAGGTTGGGCCAGATGAATCTCCCCGTGGGAACCTTCCTCCTCCCCAGAAAGGTCAGGTGTCTGGCATCTGCTGCAGGCTCCGATCATGCCTGACTGACTAGGCCTGTAGTCTGTGGACATCATGTCAGGCTGGGAAACTGAAGCTCAGAGAGAGGCAGGGACCCAAATAATGAACACTTTATCAGTGACTGAGTGACCTGGGCTTGTACCCATGTCCCCACGTCTCCCTCTGCTCCTAACTGTGACTTATGTGTCCTTGAGTATTTGTCATCATCCCTGCGGGGGTTCCCAACTGTCTGGCTAGCTGACCTGTCTCCAAAGGGACCCCGAGTCCCTGCGGGACCCCTTTTCCCCCACCTTCTGTCTCAAGATCTGAGACCCTGGAATTTCCAATGGTGGGTGCCCCCTGCTGTCTTCTAGAGGAACTGCAGCTTCCTGGGACCAGGCTTTCTTGCCTTGGACAGTGGTGCCCCCTGCTGCCTGGAGGGTGGTACTTCCCTCAGCCCCTGGGTTTGCCCTCTTCCCAGTTAACATCTTCATACCCCAACCAGGAAAAAGCCTCTTGGAGTTGGGAAACAGACCGGCACTCCAGGATTGAGGGTTCTGCCCCAGGGGTATCAGGCGAACCCTCCTGTGCAACATTGTCTAAGCTCCGTGTTCTTTCTGTATATGAAGAGAGGGTGTGGCTACAATGTTTCCATCTGCAGTGGTCCTGGTGACCTGTGTGGTACCCAAGATGCCATTTTCCACACCATGCCTGGAAGAGTAGGTCCTCATGTCTCCACTGAGTGTGTGAGAGAGGGAGAGACCGAGTGTGTGAGGGAGAGAGGGACTGAGTCTGTAAAGGATGGGGGAACTGAGTGTGTGAGGGAGGGAGTGAGGGACTGAGTGTGTGAGGGAGGGACTGAGGGACTGAGTGTGTGAGGGAGGGGGGACTGAGTCTGTAAGGTATGGGGGACTGAGTGTGTGAGGGAGGGACTGAGTGTGTCAGGGATGGGGACTGAGTGTGTGAGAGAGGGACTGAGTGTGTGAGTGAGGGGGACTGAGTGTGTGAGTGAGGGGGACTGAATGTGTGAGGGAGGGACTGAGTGTGTAAGGGATGAGGGACTGAGTGTGTGAGGGAGGGACTGAGAGACTGAGCGAGTGGATAACTGAGCTAGTGTGACTGGCTGAGTGAATGAGTAAGCAAGTAACTGAGGGAGCAAGTGAATGGCTGAAGGGAGAGGGGGACCAAGTGAATGAGTGAGGGAGTGACTGACTGACTCACTGACTGAGTGACTCACTGACTGAGTGACTGACTGGCTGACTGACTGACTCACTGACTGGGTAACTGACTGGGTGACAGACTGGCTGTGTGACTGGCTGAATGAATGAATGAATGGCTGATTGACTAATTCACTGGCTCACTGGCTGACTGGGTGACTGACTGACTGACTGGGTGACTGACTGGGTGACTGGGTGACTGAATGCCTGACTCACTGGCTGACTGGCTGAATGAATGAATGAATGAATGGCTGACTGACTAATTCACTGGCTGACTGGGTGACTGACTGACTGACTGACTGACTGGCTGACTGACTGACTGACTGGCTGACTGACTGACTGACTGACTGACTGGGTGACTGAATGCCTGACTGACTGACTGACTGACTGACTGAATGAATGAATGAATGAATGGTTGACTGAGTACCTCACTGGCTGACTGGGTGACTGACTGGCTGGGTAAATGGTTGACTGAGTGGGTGACTGAATGCCTGACTCACTGACTGGGTGACTGACTAGGTGACTCCCTAGCTGACTGGCTGGCTGGGTGACTAGCGGAAGGAATGAATGAGTGAATGAATGAGTGAATGGCTGACTGAGTAGCTCACTGGCTGGCTGAGTGAGCGAGGCAGCTGTTGGTCTGAATCAGGAGGCCTGAGGCCCAGTCTTCCCTGCTGGTTATTGGGGACCGTCTGACTTGCCTCACCATCGCCCAGTGGAAACGCAGCGTGAGCTGCCCACATGGGACCCCGCATCGTGTCAGACGCTGTGCAGGTCATCAAAGGAGTGCGCAGAGCGGGGAAGTGGGTTTTGTCCTTAGGAAGGTCCCCGAGGTTGGTGTCAGAAGTGGCCTGATGAGTCCTGTCAGGTCCCCACATGGAAGGACCTGAGTGAGGTCTGAGGCACCTGATCCTCTTTTCTTCAAAACCTTGAAATTCACCACATACCTCCTCATGGCCTGTGTTGCCTCTCATTCATTCATTCATTCATTCACTCACCCACTCAGTCAATCAGCCAGTGAGTCAGTTAGCCATTCATTCATTCATTCATTCATTCATTCATTCATTCATTCATTCAG